AATCTGAGTCATTTATCTAAACAAAATTCACGTTGGATTGTTGAACACATTTTATTATTTTATTTTGTTTTTTTGGAGTTTTTCCTTAAATCTATAATCGTCACCTTACTACAACTTTCACTGATGTGCAGCTTAACCCACACACACAAATAACACACACACACACACACACACACACACACACACACACACACACACACACACACACACACACACACACACACACACACACAAACAGACAAGCCCTCCGGGACCCACGGTATTTTTGTTCTTTTAAGGGGATCATTAAGTGATCCCACTGTGAAGCCCATAAACGGAGCTCTCTGACACTTTACTTGGGCTGTCCGTACAACATTCCTTCTCCTCCTCTGGAAATCAGAAGAACAGATGCTTGTCTGGGTCACTAACAAAAGCAAAAATGCAAAACCATATAAATTAATTTGGTTATCTTATCTAATGAAAAAGATAAACAACCTTCTTCCATTTTATTCTGTGTCCTTCTGCAGGATGAGAAAAATCAGGTGCTGGTGACTAACGCCTGGCTGCAGCTGGTGAGCTAAACTTTGTAACTATCACTGACTCATTGTGCTTTGATTACATTTTTTATGACACAATTATCTTTCAGGAGCTGTGTTTGATCGTGTTTCAGAGACTAAAAGCATGCCGTGCATGTTGATGAATATAAAGTGTGAAAAGCATCTAGTGCATGCTTTATTTGTACTCACCTTTATACTTCACTAGTAGTCTAATTCAGATTAACGATATTATGTAATTTATTAATATTTTATTATCAAACCATCATCAGGGCATTATTTTATTTTATTTTTTGTACAGGATTTTGCTGCATCTCTCTTTTTTTCCAAATTAAGTGAGTTACCAGAGATCAAAAATAACTGAATGAATTTATTTATGCTAGCCTGATGCTGCTAGATCCACAGATTAAATGGAACCATCCAACTGAATTATCAGACAGAACCTTAGATGAGAAGCACTCTTCATACAAAACAAAATTAAATGTTCACAAATCTCAACTTTTTCAGAAGAAAAATTCCTGAAAATACACAAGTTTAAGTCAAAAACTGCAGCATTTACACATGAAACAGCCCTCTGTCTACACTTTTTTGGTGTTTTATGTGGCACTAAAATAACCTGATGGATTTTGATGACGAAAACAAAAGAAGCATCTGCAGAATACGAAGATGTTTCTGTTTAGGGTTTAAACTAAGGCACCACCTGCACATCGGCTGAATAGCAACTGCTGTGTTTCTAATAGTTTAAAGCTAAAAAAAAATCACAGTTTATGAAACAGGTTAAAAAACTCTGAAAAGAGTATCTATGTTCCTGTTTAAACTTTTCTTACTTTCATTAGAATTAAACTGAAAAAGGTAATTTAATAGAATGTGACGGTTCTCTAAACTTGTACCGTGCTCTTTCTGAGTTCTGGGTCTTGTGGGGAACAGCATTGACTCTATGTAACACCACATATATCTAAAACTCTCTGTTCCAGTACTGGACCGACGCCTACCTGAGCTGGAATCCAGAAAACTACCCAGGAGTCCAGAACCTGCGGTTCCCCTCAGATCAGATTTGGACTCCCGACATCCTCCTTTACAACAGGTCAGAGCGGCCTCTCTGTACCTCATCGGTGAAACCCATCACATCGTTTCTATCTTTACACATTTATTCTGTTTTACTGAAAATACTGAAGGGGTTGAATTCTGACTCCATCAGTTCTGTTCTGCTAAACATTGTTTATTTTTATCTCGCTGTTTATATAAAATCCCTCATCTACATGAGCCACTGTAGTATTGGGATTAGCTTTAGCCTACAGTAGTAAACAGTCACATCCTGTTCAATATCAACTCAATCATACCTCTGAGTGAATGCGCTCTAATACACTCATTTTATGTATTTTGTTGAAAAAAAATTAGAAATGTTTTTACAGGCAGGCTTCTTTAAAAAACCCAAATAGTCAGAGGAACTGTGTGTGTGTGTGTGTGTGTGTGTGTGTGTGTGTGTGTGTGTGTGTGTGTGTGTGTGTGTGTGTGTGTACCAGTCTTATATTTCAAAGTGAGTGAAGTTTTTACCTGCAAACTGAGGACATCAGTAGCAATGTTGGGACAATGTTACAGAGTTCTACTGGTTAGTTTTAGAGGTTTGGTGTGAATTAAGTTTTAGTTAAGGTTAGGGTTAGTAGTAGACTGACTGGTTAGGGTTAGGGTTATGTGATAATCTTAAAGACAATCGGAACAGAGCGTGGTCATGTGGTGGAATCCATGATTGTCTGTCAAGCAACAAACATGTTGGCGTATAATTCACTACAGAAATAAGTCAACTGGGCAGCCCGCCATACACCGTCAAAGAAGCAAGTACATTATTTTCCAATGTAAAGAACTTAAGTACCTCTATCTACTCATGCCCCAAAGCAAGTCTTAAGTCTAAATTGCCCAAAGTTGATGTCAAAGCCGTTTCAAACCAGCACCATTCCTGAGCTGACACCATCTTTCTAGTTTTTTTCCATTGCAGCTCTTGTGCCAAGCTTGTGTATCCTCGCTCTACAAAAACAGAGTGCGGTGACTGGCCCAACCAAAAATTGTTTGGGTGAAGGGTAGACCTGCTGAAGGTAAAATGGAGCGTGGCTAGACCGACCTGCAGAGGAGAATCTTTTGCTACTGCAGTGGTTTGTCTCGATTTATAGGCTATGTTGTTACTTCTTCTCTTTCAAAATCAACTGATCGCCAGTCCTTGTCTCTACATATATTAGGTGTGTTTCACTTTTAGCACTTCAGAGTAGTTTTCCTGGAAAGTCATTGACTGCATGTCTCCACTTCAGCGGGCCGGCCAACAGGGCCGTTTTCAGGAACCACCGGAGTGCCTAAGCTGGGGTAGGTACTTGAAATGGCTCAATAGAATCACAGAGCAGACCTTTGGTTAACTCACACAGATTGGTTGTAACTCAGTAAGAAATTGCAGCGACGAAAAGTCGCAAAAAAAAAAAACCAACATTTGTAAAATTGTTGGAGTTGCTTGGAAAGCTGATTGGAAGGAAAATAAAATAACCAGCGTTTTTTAAAATTTCCATTTCTAAACACCAAAAAATGCTACAGAAATCCCCCAAAATTATGTAATTCATGGAGTTTAGTTGACTCACAGAGCACTGTAAAAAACTGCACTTCTTTGGATAATTGAATACCACATTTTGCATCACACAGCCACATTTTTCATTGTCCAACTTGAATAAATGATGACAGATGCTTTTTGGCACTGATCTGTGATAGTATATCTTTCTATAGAAAGAAGCTTCCGTGTGTGTTATTCCCTCCGAATACACACACACACACACACACACACACACACACACACACACACACACCATGAGGACAAAGCAAAGGTTAGGGAGTATTAACCCAAATTTTAAAAGCTTTCAGGCCCACCAGGATTACCCACCATAATCTCTCCTTTTCCATCTCTGCCTTTTCACCTCCAGCCTCCTCTTTTCCTCCCTTCATCCCCATCATTCTCTTTTCATCACAATCTATTTTTGTCTTTCTCTACCTCTCTTTCATAACTCACCATCTTGCTATAACTCCCTCCATATTTTATTGTTCCTGGCCTTCACCAGCTCATCTTTATAAATCATCCCATCAACCTGAGTCTTGCAGCGTGTCAGCACATTCCTCTCCTCCCTCACTCTCACCTGTTCTTTTTCTCAGCTGGCTTTCTTGGAGAAAAGGTTTCTACTATCAGATCAGAAAATGTCTGAATAAACAGTCCAGACCAGCACACACCGAGCAGTCCTCTAAAAACATTGTTCAATTGTTTTTGTTTGGTTAAAATAAACGTTAAACTTCTCTTAGTATAGTGAAACAAAGTTTTAGACATAAAGGTGAGATTTTATCTGGCAAAATGACTTTCAGTCACATTGGGCCTTTTAGTATTCAGGTACATTTACATATAAATTGATTAAATATTTTATCAATTGCATTTTACGTCAATTAAATTAATCCCCTGAAAACTCTGTTGAAGATACGTAAGGTGTCAAACGTTGGTTTTTGCTAAGTACTTATACTCATTTGACTGCTCCAGCTCTCCTGTTTCTCATTCTGAATGCCCTCCAGCTGTAGAGCACCATCCTGAGTGGATGACGTGCAGTTTTATCTTCTGACTGAATACATCTGGTTCATAGCTGAAGCATATATGTTCTCCGCTGAAATGAGATCAGAAGATTTGATGGCATTACTCCAGTCTTTTCTTCTTTTGTTGACTTTTTTTCTTTATCTGTTCCTTGTAATCCATCTCTCTCTCCATGGGTGGTGTTTCTCTGAAAACGTCACAACACACCCGGGTATTTTTATGAGCTGGAGAGAAATAAGACCCAGGGAGTTCTCAGTTTAGATCTTTATTTTCATGGGCAACTGCAACCTGTCATCTCTCTGCAGTTTCTGAGGCCACTTCACAGAGACACACACATATATTCACTTCTGATTAGCTTTGATCACACATTGTTTTCTTTTCCACCTTCTGCTTCCCTTCACTTCATGTCCAGTGGTCCGGTTTGAGTAGAGCCATAGTGTGGTAGGCAGAGGTAACCGAAAGTGTCTTTAATATTAAAATTTAAAAAATGGATAAAAGAAGCAAACACACAGGAAGTCAGACCATTAGGAAATGAGATAGGGGGCTTGTGTACTAGAGGACAAATCACTGAGTGGATGGAGAAGCTGGCTTGCCAGACTCTTCCTCTGTTTAATTCTGCACAGAGTAAGAGTCTGGTAACTCACAGGCAGAGAGGCACATGAGGGGCGGGACTAGGCAGCTCAAAAATAACCAATCAGAAAAAAAAACGTAAATGCCGACTGTAACGCGTGACACTGTAGTTTTTTAGCTGTAGTAAAAAAAAAAGGCGTCTGGCAATGGCGCAAACATCTTTTTTTTTTTAGAAGAAGGGCTTTTAGTGCTTCTACTTGTTGTTGTTTTAAAGACATTGAAGTCATTCAGATCAAAGGAAAGAGCCGCAGCGAATTTTACTTCAGTCGCCATGTTTACGACAAACTTGGCGTTGTGGTGTGCGACGTACGCCACTCAACGCCTATTGGCTCGGTTTGAATTCTCACAGAGAGCTCCCAGACCCTTTATCTGTGTAGAATTAAACAGAGGAGGAGTCTGGCAGGCCAGGATAGGAGAACAAGTGAGAAGCTAAACAACTGTGGCTAGTGAGGTGCAAACAGCAAATACACCCATCAACTAAAATTTAACCACATTCAAATAGTCACGTGAGGAATATCACTTTATTTAGCATTTTTCTTTAAATAAAGTAAATAGGGCATTAATTAGAAGTGTTTTACATTCTGATAGACATTTAACTTTTTTCTGAAAAGGATCAATTAATGACACTGATTTGGGCTACAGCTTTATTTTACACGGCTAACAATAATGAATGTGTGACTGAAGTTTTTGAGCCTCCTGTGAAAAGGACTGTAAGTGTGTGCTTTCATACAGACATAGAGACTAAAACAGCCACGTAAGCTGCTGACGTCCTCTCTGTGTCAGTGGTCAAAGGTTTCACTTGACTGAAAATCGATGAGGCGGCTGAAGGACGTCCATCTCAGAATAAACACAAACTAATTCTGTCAGCAGGCAAAGAAAAGGTGTCACACACAAAACACAGTTTTTAAGACAATTTAAAACATAATTGAATGATTTTTGTCTATGAAAGGTAACTAAGTTGTACATAAAATAGTCATATATTTAAGACTGAAACGCAAGATGTCAGCGTTCCGGCTGGCTTGGATCATGTTATGTTTTTATAGGATGGAATTGTGGTAAAATACATCATGGAACAAGGAAACCTAAATGTGTCTATAGAACTTGTAAAAAAAAAAAGGTACAAATCTGTACTATTTTTAATTATAACTGAAAGAGTAATGTCAGGGCGCCCATGTGATGATGTGGCATAGTTGCTTATACCGTCTAAAAGCTTTACCCAACACAAATTAAAATGTTTTTGTAACGAGCTGACTGGCGGATCCGTAAAAACACCCAACACAGAATGACAGTTAAACAAGTTTATTTAAAGGAGAGAGGCAAAGGTAATGTCAGGAGGCAGGAGGTCGTTACCGGGAGATCTGAAACAGAGAATAGTCCACAAGGGAGATCCAGGAAGCGAAGTCGGGGACGGAGCAGAGTCGGAGCCAGAGGGTCAGAACGGCAGCGGTGCAGATAAGGTAAATCCAAGAATCAGGTTCGGAGACGGAGCAGAGTCGGGGATCAGGAGGCAAGGTAAGAGAATGCTGGAGAATCTACTAGGAGAACGTTCGATAATCTGGCAATGGCTGGGTGGCTGAATGGATATTAAATAGCAGGAGGAGCAGGTGTGGTGAATAAGGTTGATGACGGAACAGGTGGAATGAATGGAGCTGATGAGGTGCGGCAGTGGTTGCTGTGGCAACAGGTCTTCGACAGGAACAGGATCATGACAGTTTTGACTCAATTTTAAAACCGATAAGTAGTCTTCCATGGACTTCCTACTTAAAGGAGAGACGTTGATGTTTATAGAACATTATTTCCACATTCCAAGTCTTCTCTTGCTTTATTCCTTCCTTTTGGTCATTTGATTTTATGGCGAACCATTCAGCTGTGCTGCTGTGCTTAGCTGGATTAAATTTATTTCACTGTAAATGGGAAATATGCATAATGCATGCAGTTTTCACATGCAGTCAGTCAACTTTAGAGCCCTGAGGCCGTCAAACAGAAGGCTTCATGTCAGGATGCTCCGTGGCTGTTTAGTTTGGGGGACGTGGCACAACATGCATGGATGATAAACCTCTCAGTAACGCAGCCTTGAGTCTGAGGCACTGACCTCCAGCTGCTCTCAGCTGTCAGTGGCTGAATACTTCAGGAAGTAGGTGGGTGTGGGGTATCTTTTTCTTTCTTAAAGGTTTTCATAAGTGGAACTTTGCTCTTTATTTACTCTGAGATTAGTCAGATCATTTGATTTTGATCATTTACCAGTTTTTGTTGTATATAAAGATGGCTACAAGGCTAATATACCTAAGCAAAGTATTGTATATAGAAGGATGAGAACAGAAGAATCGTTGGGAACCTTCAAAAGGGATTTAATGGCACAGAATTGGGACTCTGTGTATGGGAAAGAGGACATATACAGTGCATATGGTGAATTTTTAAGTTTATTTTAAAAATTATACGAAAAAAAAACTGTCCTGTAAAAATTATCGCCAAAAAGCAAAAATATGCTGATCATCTTTGGATAAAAGTAGGACTACAGAAAGCCTGTAAAAAGAAAAACACTCTTTACGGAGAATTTATAAGACAAAGAACCAAGGAGACAGAAAGTAAATACAAAAAATATAAAAATAAGTTTATAGCTAAGAAAGAATATTATAATGAAAAATTAGAAGATAATAGGAATAATATGAAAGGTATATGGAGCATATTAAACAGTAATAAAAAGTAGCTTTAAACAATCCAATTATCCCAAATATATTGACATTAATGATATAGAAAAGTATGACATGAAAAAAGTGGCTCACAGAATGAATACATTCTTTACAAATGTTGGACCTGATCTTGCTGATAAAATTCCTGACCAAGTAACAACTGCAACAGCATTTGAAAATTTAATAGACCGAAATCTTGATTCAATGTTTCCCAAGGCTGTAGATGAAAGATATATTATAAATACTGTGGCTTCTTGTAAGATTAAAACATCTGATGACTGTGATGGAATAAATATGATTGTGATTAAAAAGGTGATAGAGGAGATTTCAGAACCACTAGCATATATTTGTAATTTATCTTTTCAGACCGGTACATTTCTAAAATGAAAATAGCTAAGGTCACTCCTATGTACAAATCTGGGAACAAGCACCAATTCACAAACTATGGACCTGTGTCATTATTACCTCAGTGTTCAAAAATCCTTGAAAAACTCTTTAATAACCAATTGGACAAATTCATTGAAAAATATAAAGTACTTGCTGAGAGTCAATACAGGTTCAGACCTAACAGAAACAAAAATGTCATTAATTGATGCAGTTGAATGGATCAAAAACATTATTCACTGGAAATTTTTATAGATTTAAAAAAGGTGTTTGATACAATAAAGCGTTACCAGAGCGCATGCGGGAAGATTCCTTCCACTGAAGCAAGTTTTCCAAACCCGGTCTCTCAGAGAGACTTGTCACTTAGAAAATGTTCCCTGATGATGAAACTTTGGCTGAATTGTGCTTGTTCCTGTCTCCAATGTGGCGTCTGAGGAGAGTCCCAGAATCTCGCATCGTCTTCAGCTCATAAAGCGCCTATGATTACGCACAAGCGTGACGCGTCAACCCGGTCACACAGTAGACCGGGTTGGACCTGTTCAGGTTTACGCAGACAATCTTTACATTTAGAATTAGCTTACATATGTAAAATTAATGCAGTAAAATATAAAGTATATTATTTAAATATCCATTCATTATTTTACAAGCACAGAGAGCCGCATCAGATGGATGGAAGAGCCGCGGATTGCCGACCCCTGAGCTAGGGCATGTGCGGAGGACACACACAAACACACACACACACACACACACACACACACACACACACAAGCAAAATATACTTGTTTTCAATTACATTTTCTTAGGCCCACTCACAAATGAGTTTCTGGCTACGCTAATTGTGACTTTTGACAGACTTCTCTGAGCTCCGCAGTCATTACACTTTTCATCTCACGCACCCCCTAGTGGCAGCTCGCGCACCCCCAGGGGTGCGCGCACCACACTTTGGGAATCCCTGCTAGAAAACTGGACCGGTATGGCATCAAAGGGAAATCGTTAGATTGGCTCCAAAGTTATCTATCTGAAAGGAAGCAGTTTGTGAAACTACGGTAGATGAAGTTTGTTCGTCCTATCAGGATATTACATGTCGCGTTCCACAGGGGCAAAACAAAACTAATCCTCTTTGGTAGGCATAACACTAATCTGAATTTGAATGTACAGTTAGATGGAGTAAATATTGAAAGAGTGAAGGAAACAAAGTTCTTAGGGGTAATTATAGATGTTACTATTAATGGGAAACCACAAATCAAATATGTGCAAACTAAAATTTCAAGATCCATTGCAGTATTAAACAGAGTGAAATATGTCTTGGATTATAAATCGTTCAGGTTACTTTATTTGTTCTTCCATATCTTAGCTATTGTGCAGCAGTATGGGGTAATAATTACATGAGTGCAATACAACCACTAATAATTTTGCAAAAGAATGCAATACGAATCATTCATTAGGCAGGATGTAGGGATCACACTAAAAAATTATTTTTTAGGGATGCACCGATACCACTTTTTCCCAAACCAATACCATACCGATACTTGTATCTGAATATTCACCGATACCGATTACCGATACCTATACCTCCGCCACACAAAAAAATGCAATGATTTGGAATACAGATTTAATTTTCTTCTCTGCTTTCAACAGGAAAAGACTGTGAGGTAGATACAAAGTAAAATCTATGAATAGAAATCATCACAAAACTAAAATATTAGGTGAACAGAAATGACAAGTTACAGTGAAGCCATTTTCAAGCAACCGCATTGGTATCGGTTCCTGGTATCGGTTAACTTTTACCGATACCAGTGTAGGTATCGGTGCATCCCTATTATTTTTACAGTCAACACTTTTAAAATTTAGAGACATTGTACAATTGCAGACAGCACAGATATTATTTCTAGCAAGAAACAATCTATTACCAGAAAACATCCAAAAATCATTCATTGAGAAGGAAGGGGATTATAAACTAAGGGAACAATTTCATTTCAGAATTCCTTTTGCACACACAACAAGTAAAACCTTTTGTATTTCGGTATGTGGAGCAAGACTGTGGAATAGGTTGGAGGGGACACTCAGGAAATGTCTTACTATGATTCTGTTTAAAAGTAAATATAAAAACAATATTTATATCAGGTACAGAATTGAGGAGGGTATTTCAGCTTGACAGGATCTGTGTCTTAATTAATTACTATTATGATAACTTAATTTAGGAGCATTATTATTGTTTATTATACAGAAATTATTATTATTATTATTATTATTATAGTTGTTGTTAGGTAAAATTGTTGACATTAATGATATTATTACTGTCCTCATTATAATTGTTTTTACATCTTGTGCTTTATTAAATGCAAGCTTTTCCCGTGCCAGTCTCCCCACTGAACAATGACCTTAACACGCTGGTCTGTGTGTTATCTGTTTTTCTCCCATGGGAACCAGCAGGTTGAATGAATGCACCTGTTTCTGTGTTAGGGAGTTGTGGCATTGGTTTCACTCTCTATATGAAAACAACTTTTCTCCTGAATGTCTGCGGAGCAGTTTAGGAATGTGATGAGTTGTGGTTGTGTTATTTTGTGTGTGTCTCAATAAAAGACCTCAGAGAGCTCAGCTCTCTGAGACCATGTGAACCAAGCTTACGGGTCTGTATGGTCATTGCTTCACCTTTCTCCCTTTGCAAAGAAAACTGAACAATATTATGCTCTAATCCTCTGTGCGTTCGATTCTCTTAAGGTAACCTGGTTTGCAGGAAATAACCCAACAGTTGTTTTTATTGACCAGAAGTTATTGAAGTGGTTTGGCTGGTAAATTGGGGGAGGGATAGTTTTACTTCTTCCCACTGCTTTTCGAATGCGTAAAGGAAACTTGTGTTATTGCTCTGATTGTCTATTGTCTATTTGTTTTTACAGTTCAAATAAATAAAATAAAGATAGAGATGAGATATATTAAAATTAATCTAAGACATGCTGAATTTGTGTGTACTTGTCTTGTCTTTAAATGTTTAAGTGGACACATTTTGACTTTGAAACTGTAATGTGTGGACAGTTCCACATTGAGGGGACATTTTGCTGGTCTACACAATGCTAAGCACCCAAAAACTTGGTTTTAGAGGTATGGTGTGAATTAGCTTTTACAGGGAGTTCAGAATTATTAGGCAAGTTGTATTTTTGAGGAATAATGTTATTATTGAACAACAACCATGTTCTCAATGACCCCAAAAAACTCATTAATATCAAAGCTGAATGTTTTTGGAAGTAGTTTTTAGTTTTAGCTATTTTAGGGGGATATCTGTGTGTGCAGGTGACCATTACTGTGCATAATTATTAGGCAACTTAACAAAAAACAAATATATACCCATTTCAATTATTTATTTTTACCAGTGAAACCAATATAACATCTCCACATTCACAAATATACATTTCTGACATTCAAAAACAATACAAAAACAAA